TTTAAATGCTAACTACAAAGTCACATATTCTGGTGTTTTACTTTAGTAAAAATTAAAAGCCATATTAAGAAACCTAATAATACAACAAGAAATACATAGACCAAGCCGTCCTCAAGTATTTATTTACATAGACCTAGTTAAATGCTAACTGAAAATTCTTTTGAACTATTCATTGAAACAAATACAATGAAAATATTTTAAATCTCAGTACTTGGGAGACTGAGGCAGAAGGATAGTGATTTGCAGTCAATATGTACTACAAAGAGAGACCCAATCTCAAAAAGAAAAAAACAGACAGTGAAAGTCCATAGAATGAATTGCTCCATTTATCAGTGTAACACAAAAACATTCAACTTTCTTTTCATTATTTGATAAATCACAGTTTATATTGATGTACTATTAATTACATTGAATTAGTGAAATGTAGCTATAATCACATGTGATATCCACACTCCATATATGTTGGAAATCGAGATAAACATAATTGTGGCATTTAACTAGAGAGCTTCATGATATTAATCTAAAACAAGATTTATAAAATCAAAGTTAATGGGCATACACAAAATTTAAATTTTAGTAAAATACCTTGAAATATTCTTTCCTAATCTGCTTGCTCCGTCTCCTGTCTTCATTCTGCCAGATTATAGGTTGAGATTCTGGCCACTGTTGTTCAACTATTTGATCCTTCTGATTTTCTAACGGCTGTAATAAGATAATTTCTTTAACTAAACAGATAATAACAACGTAGTGCATATGTTATTAATGTTATTTTCTCTTACCTGCCACGCGAGGGGAGATAATGGAGAATTAACTTCATCTGCGGAGACACTAAAAAATTAAAGATACTTTAATATTTCTTGAAGTATTTAGGAAAATCCTTATACATACTTTATAAACATTACAAATTTTTGTTGTTGTTATTGTTGTTTTAAGCCAGCAAAGTAATGACTTTATCCATACTTCTATGTTTTGTTTTGCTTTGCTTTGCTTTGCTCTGTTTAGATTGGGTCTTGCTAGATTGCTCTGGCTGCCGTGGTATTGACTATGTACCCAGGCTAGCATCAAACTCATGGCAATTCTCCTACCTCAGCCTGTCAAAGGCCGAATTATAGGCATGAACCACTGCATGGCTTACGGTTAGCATATAAGAACAGATGGAAAAACAGTCAAGTTCCTCTAAATGCTGTTCAACAGGAAACATCAAAATGGGTTTATTTTCTATCAACCTTATTCACATAACAACCCTAAGGACTTTGAAGAGGCTAAAAAGTGTCTAATATACAAATAGAAATATACAGTGAAAAGGCAGGATATTATAAAAATAAATAACCTTTTTTATTTTTTTTTTTTTTTTTTTTTTTTACGAAATCAACTAATGGGATCAGGAAAGTAAGCCAGCAGATAAAGACACTAACTTCCCATAATCCTGACAATTTGATTTAGATGCCCCCCTCCCCACCAGGGAATATACATCATGGCATCATGGAAGAAGGAAAGAATCAGCTCCCATAAGTTGTCCTCTAAACTCAACACATATTTGCTCTGTCTCTCTCTCTCAGACTAAATAAATAAATAAATAAATAAATAAATTTCCTCTGCCTAAATTCCAAAGAGTTCAGAGGGCATATTCTTTACTGCCCTTTTGAATTACTTATTATGAGCTTTAATCCTTTCCTTGTGATACAAAGGGAGCTATGATGGAAATTGTTTTCATCTAGGTTGTTGCTGTTGCGGTTAGGATAAGACAACTTGCACAAACTGTTCTTAGATGGCGTATTTGACAAAAGAATTACATTGGAAAAATACATAAACAAAATGCCCATTAGAGCTGCAATTATTTAATACCATGCGGAACCTATACGTAGTAAATCAAAAGGAGATAAAAATTAAAGGGAAAGAATCAAATTTTTATTTTTAATTTTTTTTGGATTTATTTATTTTTATTTTATATGTATGACTGTTATGCCTGCATGTGTGTAAGTACACACTTGTTATGCAATGCCTGTGGAGGACAAAAGAGTGAGTTGGATCCCCTGGAACTGGAGCTACAGATGGCTGTTAGCTGCCAAGTGGGTGCTGGGATTTGAACGCAGGCCTTCTGCAAGAATAGACAGTGCTCTTATCTGCTGATCCATCTCTCCAGCCCCCAGTCAAACTATAGAACACCCAATCACAAAAAGAGCATAAATAATTATAAGACTTAGTAAGATTACCAGTTAAAGAAAAACATACAAAAATTAGTAACTTTGTTAAATAATCAACTACAATGAATTAGGAAATATATTAGAAAATTCTTATTCTTAGGAATAAAAAAGATTAGAATTACAAAATGTCTAGAAGGAAACTTCACTTGCACAAGAGGTACATTATAAAATATAAATATCCACTAAGAATTACAAAAGTTGAATAACTATAACATTCTAGGACAGAAAGACTAAGTTTTATCTGCATAAATTCTTTTTCAAGTTTCACTGAAACTAAATACACTGATTTAAAAGAAGGTTTTTTTGGTTTATTTAAGAATGTGTGAAAGAATTTCAAAATTAATCTGAAAAAATAAATGATCAAGAAAAGTAAAGCTTGGGCTGAGTGTTGAGTTAGTGTTTATAGAGCACTTGCTGTACTTCCAGAGGCCCTGAGATTGGTTCCCATCACCTGTGTCAGATGGCTCATGTCACAATCACCTGTAATACTAGGTCCAGGACATCTGACCCATTGTTAGGTACACAAACACACACACACACACGATAATTTCTTAAAAAGTAAAGTTGAGTATAGTGGCTCACACATGTAATCTCAATTCTCAAGAGGTTTTAATATCACCATTAAGGATAGACAGTGAGATAAAGGTCAGCTTGGGGTAAAGAATGAGCTGCGGTCTCAAAGAGAGAGATAGAGGGGAGGACAAAAAAGAAGGAAAGTAGAATATAAGGTGCATAAAAACAAAAGGAGTAACCCTATCACTACCAGCCAATAACTTATATGCAGTTAAGGAAATAGAACAGCATTATTCACAGAATCTATATATTTTTCAGTGATAGACTGAGTATGGGGATTATAAGTAAATAAACTGTGATAAAAATGACATTTAAAATCATTATAGAAACTAATAAATATAGAAACAATGGACTAACTATTTGTAAATTACAGAATGAAAAAGTAAGCAGAAGAGGATGGAGTTAAGAGAAAGAAGGAAGAGAGAAAAGGAAGACGAAAACCCTATATTCCCTTCCTCATATCAAACATCAAGTTTATCAATTAAGTAAATGTATTTAAGTATAAATAAATGTGAAATTACAAAGCACATGATAAATCTGAGCATCAGCCAGGTATAGTAGGATGCATGTATAGACTCCAACTATTTGAGAGTCTGAAGCAGAATCATTTGAGCCCAAGAGCTGGAAACCAGCTTGGGCAGCATACTCTAGAATTTATCTTGATATATATTAAAAATTAAAAGAGAATGTCATTTATTACATTGGGAAAATGTGTTTTTCAGACACAAGAGAGAATCTGCACATACAAACGCACCATACTTCTGACATCATGCACAAGACCTGCACAAAATCCCAGCAGAGAGAAGGAAGGTGGGCATGTTTCACATCTAGCTGAGGAACTATTAGGAATTGAAGCTGATGATAGAGGGGGAGTCACTTTTTATTAAAGGTGTGATGTTGGGTAGGGTAACCAAGCTCCAATGGATGGACCCACACCAAAGGGCATGAGTGTACAAAAATTACACTTGCTAGGCCTTAAGAAAATCAATAGAGGAAATGAATGGAGATGGGGCAGATTTGAGAGGAGATTGGATAGTCTCTAAATATGATCAAAATGCATTGTATGACGTTCTCGATGAATCAATAAAGAAAAAGATAAAAGGAAATATGACAATATTTCAAAAGTTGGGAAGAAGTCTATAATAGAAATAAGCAAAACCAATCATTGACAATATACATGCATAAAATATAAAAGGCAGTCTTTAAAACCAGAGCTGTAGGTCAGTGGCAGAGTGATTGAGTTTGATCCTCATCCTCGTCACTTCAAAATAAATGAACTTCAATTCTAACCAAGACAGAATAACAATGAGCAACAGTAAAGAAATGAGCAGAATACATACAATGGAATCATGTTTTTTGAGAGACACTGAATATTAAGCAAATGGATGTTAATCCTTGAAATGGGTAACAAAAAGGTGAATGTGTAGCTACATGGAGAGAGTTACGAGGCCACAGATCAGGGAGGAATTAAGGCAGAAACCAGATGCTGCTTAAATTTAGGAAAAAATGTTAGGAGTCAGAAAAAAGGACAGACATAGTTCACCAGGACAGAATAATAATAGGGCAGGAAAACACAGAAAAGAGCTTAGCAAACTGGGATTCTATTTGGTGGATTATGTACACACACACACACACACACACACACACTCACACCACACACCCCCATACACACAGAGTCACACTGGGATTCTATTTGGTGGATTATGTACACACACACACACACACACACTCACACCACACACCCCCATACACACAGAGCTCTTCTAATAAACTTGCCAGACTAGCTCCTTCACCTGTATGTACTATGCACACATAAAGGTTCATATTTGTAAAGCGTCTGAACCTCAGTATGGTGCTGTTGAGTAGGAGAAATCTTTAGGCAGTGGGGCTTAGCACAATGTAATTTAGTAAACAGAGAACATGTCTTTGGATTAATATATGTCTGTAGAAGTCCAATTGAGTTCCTATGAGAATGAGCTACTATTGTTTAAAAAAATTAAAGTGAACTTAATTCTTGAACCTATCTGGCTTCCCATCTTACTGTGTGATCTCTTCTACAAGTAGTTCTATCACTGTGATTCCATTTCCAATGAAATCTTCACCACAACCATACAGTATTGAGCTAAACTTCAGAAAGAATATGTAAAGAGACAAGAAATGTGGGCAACGTGACAAAGAGACCAAGATATAGAACACTGAAATAGAAAATCATACTGAAATACATAAAAGAAATTCTGCTCCTAAACTCAAGGAGTGCCAGTCCAAAGAGTACAGAAGGTGAAGCACTGATCTTGGGTTGAAGATAGGTATAAGCCCATTTCAACATCATGGTTAAGGTCAACATTTTAAGCTTTATCATAAAAGTTATAAAGGCCCAGTACGGGGTAAGAATAGGAGCTGCACTGTCAGAATTGTGTTTTACAATCACTACCCTTTAATAGTTCAAAAACAAATCTTCTGTTAGTTAAAACTGAAGAAAGGAGTTATGTGTGGAGACTGTTAGAGTAACCCAAATGGGACCTGAATCTACACAATTTCAATAATAATGGGGAAGATGGGAAGGGCAGAAGTTATGTTAAGAAGACATAATTTTCCATGATTGACTGTATTAGGAGGAGGGGAGGTAGAGAGGTATTTCCAATGATTCCAAAGTTGCTAACACGAGTGACAACATAAGTAGTTGTGCATTCACTAGGGAAGACTATCAAGAGAAGTGATGGATTCAGAGAATGTAAATTTAGTTGGAACTGTGGGATTACTAGGGAAAGATACCCAATGGGCTGTGTGGATGTGATGGAATCGGACAAATCTGTTTGAATCCTGACTCTCTCACTTAGTAGCTATGTGATCTTGAGAAAGCTTTCCTAATTTCTGAGTCTCAGTTTGTTCACATGCAAAATGGAGATATCAATAATAACAACTTCTCAGTGTTACTGTGATGATTAAATAAGACAGTGTATCTAAAGCACTGAGAAGATTGCACATATAACAAGCATCCAACAAATGGCAATTCTCTATGTACTGCTATTCCCCTAACTTTGGAACTGTACAGTCCCCTATAGTTTCACCATGGAGTTGAGTGAAATGTAAATTTCAAACCACTGAAAACAATACACCAAAATCCAAGTCTTATAGTTCTCAGAAATTCATGCATATAAACTTACATCATTAGAAAACACCAAATATAAAGACCAAGATATTTTTATACCTCTTTTCACATTCCACAGTTTGTTTCAGCTTATTTCTCATGACAGAAGCTGAGTGATTGAGAATCCTAGAAGAAAATCAACACACCAATTACAAAATATATTAACAAGCACATTACATCCATATGATATAAAATATCTCCAAAATAAACTGCATCTAGTCCATGAAGATCTTTGCTAGAAAATAATATTTTGGTGCTATTTGGATCATATGCCCATCAGTGCTAGTTATGAAAGCATCATCTTTTATAAACCCTTTCTCACAAGGTATGAAAACTTTCTAGGCATTATATGATTGCTCTGTGTACATATAACTTCTGACTTACACAGAAGATTAGACATTTGAGCCTTTTAATTTTCACAGCACAGGAAAATGACATGACTTACGTTGTTATGACACACAATAATTTTGACAAAAAATCAAATAATGAACTTTAATTCTAAATGCAAAATGAGCGCTGAAATTCAATCCCCTTTCTAAGAAAAGCACAAGTTTCTTAAACTTTTAATAACCAAATGAAACTATGTTAGAACAAAAAAATCAAAGAAAAATTAATGAAACCCTGTAAAAAAGATATATTTTTCTATGATTTTATCTAATTCTCAGTACTAATCTCAAGGTCAAAAGTAATGAAAGTAATGAAAGTAATTGTCTTTCATTGAAATAAGTAACTGTACATATTCAAGAGTTCTTGATACTATTATAGATATAAATGTAACATTTACTTTTAGAATTAGTGTTATAATGAATTAAGTATCTAATTGTATTTAAAATAAAACCTTCAGATATCAACAATCTAAAGAATAAAGAAGAGAATTTTAAATAAGAGTTGCATATTAATACATAATGTACTAAATATGCATTGGTAATTTCAGCTATGAGGTGTATATAAGGTTATAAATTCCCACCAGGCTCACTTTCTGACTAGCTTGGGCTCTTCCTATAGTCTCATTAGGAAGACAGAGTGGTGTGCAAAGGGACAAGTATTAGGCAAAAATTTCTGTATGTATGGGCCCAACAACCACAGAATTAAAGACATCTTTATTGCTTTTTCTATGTGCATATTTTAAAATTTCCAAATGCAGAATTAAAGTAACCAGATATCTAAGGAAAAAATACACTTTAAAAGGGATTAAAAGAAGAGAGAGAAATGGGAGTAAGTACTACCCTAGAAGACGTCAGAATTATTTTTAGGGAGGAGTGGTCAAAATACTATGCCCTTCATGCTGATAAAATTGATTCCTCCTTACACCACACATACTAGCATTATAATGACTGATGTGTAGAAGTCATATTAGAGTAGAAGAGAAAAATTCCAAGCCCACTTATCTGTAAATGTGTATTACGTATTTGAGAATTCACTTATGTAAAACTTTGGAATGTACATTGATATTTTATGTTTTTCTCTGTGATAAAGTAAAAAAAAATCTATTTTACCTATTATTTGTTCTAGATTATTAACACAGTTCCCAGTACTTATTTTAAACAAATTGCTATATAGTTCAGCTGTATGAACCTGGCCCCTTAATACTTATGGCTTCCACCAACTCTAGATACCTTGATTTCCGTCCTGCTGCTCTGGTCCTCTGGAAGAGTTTGTCACTGAATGATGTTCTAGAACTTAAAGGCCTCCATCTATATTCACATTTCACACATATCAACCAAACCAAAAGATGGGAGAAGGAAGATGTTTTTGGAGAAGATAAGGAAGTCATTAGTAAAGGAAACAGAAAAGAAAGAATGGCTAGGTTTCAAGGGTTAAAAGAACTATCCAAACAAGCTAGAGGTTAACACAATGTTCCTCAAATTGAAATGTTGATATAATGAGGCAAAAATCACAAGAAATATATAATTAATAATTTTTACAACTCTAAACCAAACCAAATTTCTCAAAACCTGGTTTTAACTTCTGAGATCTTTAGTTCTACTTCAATTATTTAACTTTTCACAATTGCTTTTTTAATCTAGCTATGTCACATAGAACGCAGAAGTACATCCTTCCACAATAAAGAAAAACCCTCTGGAAACACCTAAAAGCAAAGAAAATCATTATTAAAAGCGAAGACAGAAAAATACTGTAGAGAAAGTTAGTAGAAATAAATGCCCTACTGGAAAAGTCCACAGATACAATAATCCTTCCTTGATAACAAAACAAATTTTAAGAGACTAAACATCTGCTTATTAAACCACATAAAATCAGTATAAGGTAAAGTGTAGCAGCCTCTTTTCTAATGGGAACATATATGAATAGGAACAATAAAAAGTTGGAGAAACGGAATTTCCATTATTTTATTCTCAAGAATTTTCTTTTTTATCACTAGTCACATGTACAAAAAAACATGTTCTAATACTAGCATTTTATTCTCAGTTTCTTTTAAAATATTTCCCCCATTCCAAAAAATGTCCTTTTAAAACTTAATTTCATTGTTGTCAAAACATTTAACATTACTTAGCATGCATGAGGCCCTAAGTTTGATCCACACCACAAAATGTACACGAAACATTTAACATGAGATGTACTGTCAACTCATTTTTAAGTGTAAAGTATGCTCTAGGCACAATGTTACACAGTAGACCTCTACAAAACTATCGTTCATCTCAAAAAATATTTTAAGATATTGTTTTTTTTAATCTATTGTTTCAACTTGGTTTTTTTCCCTTTGGTGATGGTGGGTTTTGTTTATTTTGTTTGAGCCAAATTGTTCCTATAAAATGTTGTGTAACCATCTGGCTCAAACAATCCTATCTCAGACTTTCAGATAGTTAGGAAAACACATAATGCCACTGTGCCAGCTCAAAGAAGCTTCATCTATGCATCTCAGGCAAAGAAAGGAGTGAGTGTCTTCCAAGGTACTCGGCTTCATAATATCAAATCTTGTGACTTATCTACTTCATGCTTTCTCTGCTGACCACTTTTAGCAATTTTATACACTAGCCTTTTTTTTTTAATTTTGAAGGATAGCATCACCCCCCAAACAATAATAAAAACTTTCTTAAAAGAAAAAAGATCATCATTTCATACTATGAGCTAAGCAAGTAGAAAAACAGCTATAATTACCACGTAACTCAACATGACCATTATTCCAGTCACCCTAGTTTGGGAGAAGTAGATGGCTTCATTTGGCCTAGAACTTATACTGCGTCTCTTTTCAAACAATAGTATGCAAAAGAACAGTACACAGTCAAGGTAGGAGTACTGGGTGGCATTATCTGGAACATGAGACTAATCTTGTAAGTTCTTTTAATCAAGACTAACAATAAGAAAAAACCCTAAAATAAGCATGTTAACACCTAACACATACATTATACAACCTCTCTGAAGAACTGAAAAAATAAATGAGTTTATTTCTCCTCTGCCTCATGGGTGAAAGTTACATTTACCTTTATGGGAAAAGAATATTGATTGATTTTTTAAAAATATTTTACAATAATAAGTTATTTTTCTCATACTGAAGAATAAAAGAACAACTGTGTCAACAATATTCTAATGCCTTCAAATATTGGACAAGTCAGCGCATTTTAATACTTAATCTAAAGAGCTATAATATACTTATGTCCTTCTACCTAAATAAGATGGTGGAGAGGAAAATCAGATAAAGACAAAATTATCTATATACATCTTGAAGAATAAAAAAAAAATATGCATGAGCTGGTTGTGGTGGCACATTCCTTTAATCCCAGCACTTGACAAGCACAGGCAGGCAGATCTCTGTGAGTTCAAGGCCAGCCTGGTCTACATAGTGAGTTCCAGGCCAGCTGGGCTCAGGGTAACCCTGTCTCAAAAAGACAAAAAAAAATTATTTATGGAGAATATAAAATTTTTAGATAACTTTTTACTCTAGCTTTAAATTTGAGTGAATTTTCAGGAATAAAATTAACCAAGAATAGTATAATTATTTACTTATTGTGTGCTTACTAAGTAAAAGGCATATCGTTAGGTGCTATTTTGCACTAATTACAAAGTTATTACAAAAGAAAACGCTATAAAAATGACCTACTTATTTGATATCTTACCAATACTAGAAAGAATAATTGAAGAGACATAGATGGAAAACTAATATAATAACAGTAGAAATGAGAAATATAGAAAAATTATATCTGGTAATATTAAATCTAAAACTAAACTCTCAAATGCCTTCATTCTTAACATTATAAGAAAGTGGATATTATTTTGGAATCTTAAAAATACCATTACTCTCTTTCCATGAGAAATAAATACAACTTCCTTACTTGTTAAATATAGGCGTTATAAAAAAACTCAACTATTTTTTTCAGTTCCAAGAGCAGGTGGCCGTGTACTTCATTAAATCAAACCATACGAGTAATCAACAGATTATATTGGTGTGGGGAACATATAGCTTTATAGTAAGCTATTTTTAAAAAGGCACATTAGAAATAAATTATTGGAAAAGATTAAAAGATAAATATTAAATATCAAATAAAGGTTTATGAAAGTATGGTACAAGATAAAATGTAAACTGAGAATGAGGATTCATTAGGTAACAAAGTAATAAAGATAAGGAAATGTTAGTGAAAAACTGTTGTAGCAATGCAAAAATGATACTTAGATTGATGGCTATTTGTCTTATTAGTTATTATCCAGATTTTCCCTAAAAGTAGTCCATAAGAATACAGAATTTCATTTGATAAATTTGTATTTGATAAATTTGTATTTGATAAAAATGTATGTAGTGGTACGCATGTGGAGACTAGAGGACAATTTGAGGGAATGGGTTCTCTCCTTCCACAATGTGAGTTATAGGCATAAAACTGAGGTTGCCAGGCTTAGTGCCTTTATCTGCTGAGTCACCTCAACAGTTCTGTGTTTTTTGCATGCTTGTTTTTGTGGTGCTGGAGATAGAATCTTGGGCCTCATGCATACTAATTTACAGTTCCACAATTGAGCTATATCTTCAGCACTCATTTGGTAAGTATTCTTGCTTTTTATATTGTTTTTTCAGAAAGATTTTTTTTGTAGCCTATACTGTGTGTGAAGTGGTGACCCTCCTGCCTCATCTTCCTTAGTATAAGGATTACAGGCCTATCACACTACATACAGATGTCCAAGATTTTATATATGTACATATATATGTATATATATATGAGTGTATTTGACATGATACAGGCACCCAAGGAGGCCAGAAGACAGGGTGAGATCCTGTGGAGCTGAAATTACAGGCAGGTGTGAGCCATCCAGACATGGGTGCTGGGAACCTTGAACTCAGGTCCTTTAGAAGAACAGCAAGCATTCTGAACCACTGGGCCATTCCTCTAATCACAAGATGCTGAGTTTTCACAATACTTTTTAAACAAATGCCATATATTTAAATATGAAAGTGTTCAAAGCATGTTCATGTTATTCACAAACATTTATTGATTTGAATAAGCTAAATAAAATACTACTTATTCATGCTAAATGTATCAATACTATCTTTTCAATTTTCGCAAAACAAACACCACAGTCTTAAATATTTCAAGACTGTAAATAGAAGACTCTCAGTAAATGCAGATGGCAATATAAACAGCACATAGAACATTTCTTATATTAAAAATGGACTTGGGGCTCAGTGGGTAAAATGCTTGCTGTGTGAGCATGAGGACTTGCATTCAGATCCCTAGTACCCACATAAAAATCCAGGGTTGGCTGCGTGCATTTGTAACCCCAAAGGTGGGGAGGGCAGAGATGGGTAGATTCTGGGAACTCATTGGTCAGACAATCTAGCCAATCAGTGAGCTCCAGGGTCAGTGGGAGTCCCTGTCTCAAAAAATAATGTAGAGAGCACCTGAGGATGACATGTGATATAGCTCTCTGGGACATTCACATGCATACACGAGACACAGACTCAAAAATGTAAGCATACTTAACTCGATTCTATACTCATTCAATGTCTTGCTCATTGACAAAGGCATGCATTAGAAAAAGTCTGACCAGAGAGAAGTTGCTAACCAAGAAGTAGACAATGGTGCACCTGGGATAGTTAACTCATCACACTGATTTAATCAACAATTATATAATTTGCCTCAATCCTACGGAAATAATAATGTGATAAAAACTAAAATATGAACATTATAAATAAGGCATATACTCAGTAAGAAATGCTAATAATGTAAATAATGCTATTCTAAGCTAAAAATGAGTATCAACAAAAAAATCAGCTGATATGATTTAGCACAGAAATAAAAAAATACTTAATCGATATTAAATATACTAGCTACAGCTAGACTGTAACTCAAGAGTAGAATGCTTGCCTAGCACACATGAAGCTCTGGGTTTGAGCATCGGTACCACACACACACAAAAAAGTGCTAGTTTGAGTATGTTCTGTTAGCTATATATACAATTTTATATTTCTCTCCTAAGTACTTCCTACTGTCTTTTAGTAGTCAGACTCTTGAAAAACATATCTTTAAAGTCCCTATTATTTACTTGGAATGTCATACACTTAATTTGATCATTTTTACTAATTTGCCTATTCACATCTCATTACTGGAAAGAATACCTGTTCTTCTGTTCTTGCTTCAATAACTGAGCAGCTATCTTCCTCAAATCAGTTACTTCCTTCAAATCATCGTCATCTTCTTCTGGAAGTAACTGTTCTTTCTCAAGTCTGAAACAAACATGGTTATTCACAAAGTAAAGCCAATTGTACATTGTCAACATGTAGAACTGGAAACTATTTTTATTTTTTAAGACCATGTGAAAGCTAAAATCCTTATGTCTTTATATTTAAAATGCTAAAATGAAAAATAAGGAATGTTTAAGAAGCACACCTACATTCTCTACTCCGTATAAAATGTGACATAACAGCTATATTGATATAATTATAGCTAACAAATGGTGAATTATAGATCATTTTCTAATTCCTGAAAGATACAAAGGTTATGGTAATTTAAAAACACATACTTTTTAGCCTTGAGTATAAAATTATTTGCAGAGCTCCATATGGTCTGTCTTTATAGGGAAAAACTATCAAAACTTTCCCATTTCATTTTGCTGTACTGTTTCTATCGGTTTATTCATTTTGATTTTAAAAATCTCTATGTAAAATAAAATAGTTTAAATAGAGGCAGAAATAGTTTAAATAGATTCAAATAAAATTTACAGCTTTGTCAAAAATTATTAAATACCATTTTAACATTTAAAGAAAGTAATCTTAAAGCAAATTGTTCTTCAAATTCTTTTAGCTCAAAATATTTTCATTTGATACTCAATAGAAAACAATGAGTCTTTGTATTATTATCATATCTTGCATGACACTTGTGACTCCCAAATTTATATAAAATAAGATAAGAAACTACTAGAAACATGAAACTTAAAGAGTAGAAAACTATGGTAGTACAGGCCTGTAAACTCAGCTACATGAGAGGCTAAAAGAGATGGATCACAAGTCCAAGGCTACTCTGGCAGAGGTGGAGATAAGTGCACAAGAGCTGGAAGATATGGGGAAGGGAGGCAAAATACCTTACTCTAGACTCAATACAATGACTGCAAAAATTAACTCACAATAATCATAGCTACCTACACTGGGCACCCATAAGACCAGTCCTATCAAAAATACATAGGAAGAGGCAGGGGCTGATGAGGCCCTACACGTTAAACTACTGCCTATTGATAGACTCTAGAAGAAAGGGAATCACTTTCTTTAGTTGTGTAGCAGTATAATGCTGAGCCTAACAGCTTCCAACAGATATCTCCAAACCCATGATCACACAGACAGCCCTGGTTAATCTCAATATGCCACAAAATAAAATGAATAGATATGAACATGAGAGAAAGATTTGTGGGAAGGAGGAATCTCAGGGTTAGTACAGAGTTGAACAGTGAGAGTGATCAGTATGAATTATGTACATGTGTGAATTCTTTAAAAACAAAATTAATTTTTTAGAAAAGAACCGAGGCTATAGATCGATGGTAGAGCACTTATCTAGCATGGAAAAGGCTCTAAATTCAATCCTCAATACTACAAAAAAGAAAACAAGAAAAAAAATAAGACAAAGCAATGTACCTCCTCAGTGGGTATCAGAGATGGATAAGAACTGCTTAGAAAGTTACCAGTGACTGGGTGAGTGTGTAGTTCAGTAGGAGAATGTGTGCTTAGCATGCCTGAGACCCTGAAATCAATTCCTAGCATAAAATAAAGTTACCAATAAAAATACTTGAAGAAAGCATAATGTACAGGAAAAATACCGAAATTGAAGAAAACTCAGTTCAGACCCTAGACAGTAGTGGAACATAAAGTCTCTCAATTTCCTGTCTCTCATCTATAAACATGGTGTCAACATCTACCATGCAGGGCTTCAGTGAAGATTAAATGAGAAACATGGAAAATCACACAGTACATAGCTCAAATACAAAAAAAAACAACAAAAAAAACTGTTCCTTCCTTCCCTCAGCTATAAAGTAACCTGAATGAATGAACCCATCAATTCACGAGACAAAAAATGAAAAGATGTCAATCACATTGTTTCAATAAAATATGGAAATACATACCCTTAACATTGCCATAACTATCCTCACAAAATGGAAAGCATGTTTAATCATGAGACAGAAGACCCAAGATGCAGAAATTTAGAACAACTGCTCTCAGCTTCCTTACGATAAGATGATGCTAGTGCCATCTCTTTCAAAGGCTGTTAAAGAACTCACATAAAGCAATGTTTGTCAAGGTACAGTCTTCTTAGGTTAAAAAAAATGATTGATATCATTATTATTCTCTGAAAAGAGGAAACTAGTGTGTATCCGACACTCACCCTAAATATCTACTATAAATTTTGAGGCTAAGGAATTCAGATAAAGTAATTTCAGATTAACTATCTAAACACTATAGAGAAATTAGCAAAAAATTCTTTCAGCTACCCTAAGTTGGAATACAAACAGTTCAGGCATTCATAAGTTGCATTTCATTTTGGCAGTTTGCATGTGCTTACCTTTTTTCATTTCCCAAGTCTTCATTTTTCTGAGATTTTTCAGAGCATTTTTCTTTTCCCTTATATAAAAGAAAATTGTCATTTTAAATTGTATGCTCTACTTTGGTAAGATCAAGGAGAAGAGCATGTGGCTCTTTGTCCATAATTTTATTTACCTTAAGGAAAGAGACGAATGATCCAATATGTGTATCTCCCTGATCAGGAACTGCTACATCTTCTGTGTTGGGATCAATAAAATCATACACCTCCTGGTCTAAGTATAGATTAATATTTTTAAATGCAATAGTAAATGTTCTCACACTGTAGTATTTAAGATAAAAGTTTATTTTCTTAGTACAAGATACATTTAAAAGCACTAATATTTCAAAGCCCATTTTAATAAAAAGCTCAGTTTTAACATGAGCTGTGCATATGAAATCAAAATACCATACAGCACATGAATTACCTTTCTGAGAATCAGGCTTGCTTCCAATTGTGTGACTGTCATTTCTTGATGTTTGCTCTCTATTAGATTCTGAGACTTGAGAGTGAAGGCTGATTGTGTCATCATCTGATGGCTGAAAGGAAAAAGTGTCAAATATAAACAAGGCATTTGGAACATGTGAGAAAGTTTGTGCTGCATTAATTAAAGGAAATTATTTAAAAATCAACTTACACCTCCAGTTTCCAAATGAAATATTAATATATTAAGGAAGAATATTTGCTTTTAAAAAGCAGCAGGTACTTTTTTGAAGTCATAAAAATACAGCAATGATCATATCTACATGCAAAATTCAAAGTGCCTATGTTTCAAAGCTCTATGAAATAACAAAACAAAATAGACCCGCCACAGAGGAGACTCACTTCCGTTGTAGACAAGCGTTTCTCTCCATTATCACTTCCAATTCCAGAATCGGGTCCATGATTTTTATTTGGGTAAAAATCTTCCATACTATGAAATAGAAATCCTAAGAGTAGTTAGAATTTTGTTCCTAAATATATATTGTACACTTGAATTAAAACTTCCCTAGATAATACAAAATACATACTTTTAATGTCTAACATTCTTAGGGAAGAAAATATCACAAAAGTTTTTCTAAAATATTTTACTTATGTTATACAAGTAAAATTTTATGTACTTTGCAGTACGGTATCAATTAATACCCATACCTTACTATTTCTTCTGCAAGTAAATAATCTTGATAAAACACATTTTTTTCTCAGTGTTTTTGGCATTTTTAACTTTATACAATTTCTGTCTCCTAGGCTCTAGAAATATGCTTTAGCTGTATAAATAATGACAATTTAATAGTTAAGTAAAAAGAACACAAACACATACACATAGTCATAAAGCACTGAATAAAAGACTATTTTTTATGTGAGACTAGTGTTGTTCTTGTAAATTTCTGACTTGCAAAATATGCCACTCAAGGTAGCAAAGTATTTGCCACACATTCTACAATGACTACTTACTATGTACTAGGTACTGTGTTGAATGATTTAAAGATAATGCCTTATATACTTCATGTGAAAACACTTTAATAAGATGGTTTGCTGTTTTCCCATTTTATAAGAGAAGAAACTAAGGCTTGGAAAAATGGAGCAATTTATCTCCACAATTTTAAAATAGTATTGTAAATTGGATCCATAGATTATCTAGCTCTAAATTCCCCAATTATATCACTATGCCATATTTCCTGCCTTAAATAGTTTCCATAAAATATTATACACTAATTTCTTTCTTGCTACATTTTTTCCCGTTTGTGAGACGGGGGTCACTGTGTAGATCTGCTGCCCATAACTTGCTATGATATATGTTGGGGAACCCTGCAGTTAGGGTTGTAGTCCTCCATGTCCGGATAGCTCTAAGGGGCTCGGGGTGCCATATGGAAGGACTCCCCTTTTCAGCAGGGGGCCTCCTGCTTTCTTCCTGACTTACCTGGAAAGTGCCACCAAGCACAGATGCCTGATCTTATTTGGAACATGACCTTTGGCATAGTTACCTGGAGTAAAAACTACCCCCAGGTTTTTCCTATATGATAATCAGGCATTGCCTGGGGGACAATAGGAGCCCACTGCCACATGTAAATAAAGCATACTATGAGCACCTATCAGCTGAGGCATTGGCTACTGCCTCCACACTATATATTTTCCCTAGTTCTCCCACTGAATAAACGGAGCTGTTTCACTGAATCTAGAGCTGTTTCATTGAGTCTGGAGCTGTTTGCATCGTTGAACCTGCCTCCCCGGAAGGGCTTTCTTCCGTCAGTGCTCACTGGCCATCCTGACCCCGCTCGTCGCTTCTGCTCCCTTTGTCCTCGTGGACCGGTGGCCAATGACCCACGAGGAGAGGGAGCGACCCCACATATGTAGGTCAGGCTTGCATCAGACTTTTCATCCTCTCATCTCAACCTCCTGAATGGTAGAGTTAGGGGCATGCACCACCACACTAACAAGGGCTTGACCTCAGGCTCTTGCACTTATTCTTTCTGCCTGAGATGGTTCCCCTCCCCATCCCTACTCTTCACACAGCTAGATTTTCTTAATTGCTTCTTGACTTAAAACTTGACCTTCCCATCAGGTGTAGTGGCAGGAATGGTGGCAGGAATGGGTAAGTGTAGTACATAGAAGGCAAAGGCAGGAGGATCCCCAGATCAGCCTCATATACATAGTGAATTTCAGGCCAGAAAGGGATACACAGTGAGACCTCATCTGAAAAGACAAAAAAAAAAACTGAAAAAGAAAATCTTCATCTTCCCAAAGAGAGGTTCCCTGCTCATAGTCTTCTTTCATAGTATATGCCACCATTTGATATTTTGTATACAACTGTATACAAAAGGGTTCCAATAATCCCATTATACGTTGAAAACATTTTGAATCAAAATGCATTTAATGTGCCTAACCTCTTGATCATCATACCTTAGCAACACAACCCACTAAAGAGTTTTGGTTGTCTACCCATGCTACCCTGTCACTGCCCAGCAGCATAATCCTATAGCATACCACATATTGGCATCCCAGGGAAAGATCGAATTCCAAAATTCAAGTACAGTTTCTGCTTAATGCATGAAGCTTAAGCACCATCACAACGTTGAAAATTGGTACCATGAATCATCATGTTAGGCATCATATATGAAAGTGAAAGGGAAGGGGGAGAGAGAGGAAGGGAGAGAGATACAGAGAAGGACAGACACCAAGAGATGGAGAGAGCCAGTGAGTGTGTGTGTGTGCACGCGCGTGTGTATGTGTGAATACTGTGTGTGTGTGTATGTGTGTGTGTGTGTGTGTGTGTGTGTGTGTGTGTGTGAATACTATCATCTGAATGTGCTGGACACTTAATCCTCAATGAAAAAGTGTTAGGAGGTGGGGCCAAGTGGAGGTTTATTTAGGTCTTAATTGCTCATCCTTCTAAGAAATTAATTTCATTATTATAGGAGTAATTTCATTATCCTGGAAATAAATTTGTTACAAAAGCAAATTTGACGACCTGTATCAGTCTCTCATTTTCTTTTGTTCTTTTCATACTTTTGGTCATATTGTGATCCAGGAATGAGGCTGTCATCCAATGTGGCTTCTGCTATCTTAGACTCCTCAGTTTCCAAAACTGTGACTTATATAAACTTCTATAGTTTAAATTACCCAGTCCAGGTATTCTTTTTTATTTTTTTATTTATAAAAATATTTTATTTATTATTTTTATTTTTATGTGTATGAGTGTATTGTCTACATGGATGTAAGTACACCCATGTTGGACAATGCCTATAGAAGTCAGAAGAGAGCTTCTGATTCCACTGGAACTGGAGTAAAGGATGGTTTGTAGCCACCATGTGGGTGCTGGGAATCGAACACAGATCCTCTGCAACAGCAGTCAGTGTTTTTAACCTGAGCCATCTCTCCAGGCCCCCAAGTATTCTTTTATAGCACTACAAAATGAAATGAAGTCATATTTATATGTTGCTTTGTTTTCTTTATTTGATGACTCTTCTACCTGGACTGTATCATGAGTACCAAAACTAACATGTACCACATTCACCAAAATATGATTCTGCCAGTAGGCATTCAAGAGAAATTTATGTTTTAAATGGCTAACACAGTGAATGGCACTACTAAAGGAAACTCATTTTCAAACAAAGTCTATTCATAGAGATTAAAATGGATACTATAAATTTTAAGAGAATTATTTCCTTTAATGTTGCTTTATTACTAATATTAAGCAAAATGCACTTTAGAAACTAAATCTAGCACTTAAATATTTTATTAAAGCAAGAGAAATATTCATGACAAATTTCTGTTCGAGAATTCAAGACTTACACTGTTACAATAGTACTTACCATGTTGCCATTAGAAGTAATCTGAACTTTATCTTAAAATCAATGACAAATCTTTAAATATTTTAGTTGGTATAGTCTCCCTTTCTGTGGTCTCACCGCATTCCAAGTTATTTTCCATACTACTGAGTGGAATTTTATTTTCAGAAGTCTTTAAAGACCAATCTACATCTTGAAAGGACGAATTAAAAAAATATGTCTACCATATCAAAATCTCATGGGAAGTAAAGGAGAACAATCATAAATAACATCAACAATATATCATTGTTGACCAGGATATAATGGGGTGTAGCTGGGGTGTCGCTTACTTTTAGAGCATTTCTTAGAATCTAAGAGGGTCTAGATTCAATCCCAAGAACTACGAAAGGAAAACACACACACACACACACACACGCACGCACACACAAAGGGATGGGGTTGTAGCTCAGTGGTAGAGCACTTGAGTAGGTTTGATCCTTAACAGCAGAAAAAGTAAAGAAAACAGCAGAAGAACAAAAACGTACATCCAAAACATCTTGCTCTTCAACCAACTTCAGTTCAAAGCCAGATGTGACTTGCTCTTACAATTGTAGGATACAATTATTCCAAAAGTATATTAACAGTTATCATAGTTGAGAAAGTAGTATTTTTGCATAATAACATCAAACATTACAACATCACTAGTCAAATAATAACAGAAAATATGAAATTTCATCTAGTATCCCAGAAGTCCTTTCAATAATGGTGATGTTAAAGTCAGCAAACTGCCTATTTTAACACTGAACTAATCAGACTAAATACATTCAATATCTAAGCAGGAAATACCTTTTATAAAATAAAAAAGACAGCTCAACAATGAGCAAGTGGACTGTAAAAATATAACATTACCTGTCTGTGAGAGGCTGAGAAGGCATTCTTTTACTCAATGATGGAAGATCCAGGGAGTCTGGTTTCTTATCCATTCTACAACATGCTTGTATATTTAAGTACTTAAATATATGTACTTTACCTTTTAAGCAAATCTGTTAACAAAAAATGAAGATTTAGCAATATAATTCAAATATAAAGATTAATTTATTCTTATTTCATGTATATGTTTTGCCTGCATGTATCTATGTGACCCACATTCGTGTACTGCCTGCAGAGGCCAAAATAAAGCATCAGGTCCCTTGGAACTGGAATTACAGAGGGTTTACAGCTCCCATGTGACTGCTGGTAACCAAACCCAAGTCCTCTGTAAGAACAGAAAGTGCTCTTAATTACTGAGCCATCTCTGTAGCCCCTAATTCCAAATATAAACAAACACTATCAACCTTATTTATATTAAGTAATAGTCTCAAATTATGTTGAGATATCACAATCTTGAAAGTTTGCATATTTAAATTATTTGTACTTATGACATCAGTCAGAAAACTCTGAAAACAACTTTAACAAAAAATCTACTGCAAACTGTTTTATCAGAAAAAGATAATTTTTCTATATTTCATTTGTTTTCTTGCTAAAAGTAAAATATATAAACTACCAAAAATATACAAAATTCACATCATGAAAGATACTTTTATTAGGAAAAAGAAATATAGTATTCACTGCATTAGTGAGAACAGAAAAAATGAAAATGATACTTGGAATTCTTTAAAGTAATCTCATCAGAACAAGTGAGAAATTTGATGTAAACTGGAAAGGAAGGCTAACATAAAACATAACATAGAGAGAATGAATGTATCAAAGGTATAATAGTAGCAAGCCAAAGTTACTTTCATTGGTCATAGAGAAAAGGAATAATATGTGAAAAAGGTTAAATATGGTGCAGGACAGGGTAGAAAGAGTAGGGGGAGCAATGACTAACACTAAAAATCTTTGAAATTGTCATATGGAAACCATACACAGACATAAAATGAGTTCAAATAGAGTTACCCTACAATAGAGAGTCAATGCCTCTGCTAGACAACATAGGCTATAAAATAATCCAGTGCCAGGCATTGGTCAATTCTTTTTGAGTTGTTGGTCCATGGGGTCCCATAGGATTCCACCCCCCATGAACATTACAGGCTATTGCTATTGGTCTTGATTACCCTCCAGAACTTGATGGTAAGGCCTTCCTGCTGACATCACATACCTGAGTCATGGGTCATGGAGAAATCAAGCTAGTACCAGACTGGAAGATTCATTTCTGCTGACTAGTTTTCATAGTGCTAGAAGATTCTATGTGCACTACCAGAGGTGAAAAGTAATCAAGATTCTTACCCAGCTGTGAACTCTGTGAGCTTCAATAATGACTGCTGTACCCACTTGTGAAATAGCAGCATCAATGTTATGGGAGCAACCAATTACATTCTAATTGGCATTAAAGCCTGCTTCACAAGACAGAAATCATACCTTGGACTGTTAACTGATACAAAACTCCATGGCTAGCTAGATTATAGGCCCTAGGGGGAAACCTAATATTATTATTCTCCTAAATGGATGCAGTAATAAACTGCCCTCTAAGTTCTTATCATTTTGCCCATAGCTAATGCATCTGTTTTAACTTTCATCAAAACAGCTTCCTTTTGCAGTATATGGCATTCATGCAGAGGCATAAAACTGGTTAACACGCTAACTCCAGTTCCAAGGGGATCCAACAGCCTCCTCTGTCCTCCATGGGCATTGAACAACATGGGTGCACTTAGCTACAAGCAGGCAATACACACATAGGCATAAAATAATAAATAAAAATATTTAATAAAAAGAAGAATATGAGACTGTGGATTGCGGCTGGAGAGATGGCTCAGAAGTTAAAAACATTTGCTGTTCTTCTAGAGGACCTGGGTTCAATTCCCAGCACCCACATGGTGGCTAACAACCATGCATAAACCTCTTCTGGCCTCTGCGGTGGCATTGCATGCATGTAGTGCACTTACATATATGCAGACAAAGCCCTCCCATTCACAATAGCCACAAAAAAAAATAAAATACCTTGGAATAAACCTGACCAAAGACATTAAAGAGCTCTACAAATAAAATTTTAAATCTTTAAAGAAAGAGACTGAGGAAGACACCAGGAGTCTT